CTAGAACAAATAGTTTCACGATTTGTATGGAAATACAAAAAACCTTGAATAGCCAAAGCAATCTTGAGAAAGAAGAATGGAACTGGAGGAATCAACCTGTCTGACTTCAGGCTCTACTGTAAAGCCACAGTCATCAAGACAGTATGGTACTGGCACAAAGACAGAAATATAGGTCAATGGAACAGAATAGAAAGCCCAGAGATAAATCTATGCACCTATGGACACCTTATCTTTGACAAAGGAGGTAAAAATATACAGCGGAGAAAAGACAATCTCTTTAACAAGTGGTGCTTGGAAAACTTGTCAAGCACTTGTAAAAGAATGAAACTAGAACACTTTCTAACACCATACACAAGAAAAACTCAAAATTAATTTATGATCTAAATGTAAGACCAGAAACTATAAAACTCCTAGAGGAAAACATAGGCAAAGCACTCTCTGACATAAATCACAGCAGGCTTCTCCATGACCCACCTCCCAGAGTAACAAATAAAAATAAAAATAAACACATGGGACCTAATTAAACTTAAAGGCTTTTGCACAATGAAGGAAGATATAAGCAAAGGGAAAAGACAGCCTTCAGAATGGGAGAAAATAATAGCAAAGGAAGCAACAGAAAAAGAATTAATCTCAAAAATATACAAGCAACTCTTGCAGCTCAATTCCAGAAAAATAAATGACCCAATCAAAAAATGGGCCAAAGAACTAAACAGACATTTCTCCAAAGAAGACATACAGATGGCTAACAAACACATGAAAAGATGCTCAACATCACTCATTATCAGAGAAATGCAAATCAAAACCACAATGAGGTACCATTACACGCTAGTCAGGACGGCTGCTATCCAAAAGTCTACAAGCAATAAATGCTGGAGAGGGTGTGGAGAAAAGGGAACCCTCTTAACACTGTTGGTGGGAATGCAAACTAGTACAGCCACTATGGAGAACAGTGTGGAGATTTCTTAAAAAACTGGAAATAGAACTGCCATATGACCCGGCAATCCCACTCCTGGGCATACACACCGAGGAAACCAGAATTGAAAGAGACACATGTACCCCAATGTTCATTGCAGCACTGTTTATAATAGCCAGGACATGGAAGCAGCCTAGATGTCCATTAGCAGACGAATGGATAAGAGCTGTGGTACATATACACAATGGAATATTCAGTTCAGTTCAGTTCAGTTGCTCAGTCATGTCCGACTCTTTGCGACCCCATGAATCGCCAGGCCTCCCTGTCCATCACCAGCTCCCGGAATATTACTCAGTCTTTAAAACAAATACATTTGAATCAGTTCTAATGAGGTGGATGAAACTGGAGCCTATTATACAGAGTGAGATAAGCCAGAAAGAAAAACACCAATACAGTATACTAACGCATATATATGGAATTTAGAAAGATGGTAATGATAACCTTATATGTGTGACAGCAAAAAAGACAGAGATGTATAGAACTGTCTTCTGGACTTCGTGGGAGAAGGCAAGGGTGGGATGATCTTAGAGAATAGCATTGAAACATGTATATTATTATATGTGAAACAGTTCGCCAGTCCAGGTTCGAGGCTTGAGACAGGGTGCTCAGGGCTGGTGCACTGGGATGACCCAGAGGGATGGGATGGGGGGGGGGGGTTCAGGATGGGGAACACATGTACACCATGACTGATTCATGTCAATGCATGGCAAAAATCACTACAATACTGTAAAGTTTTTAGCCTCCAATTAAAATAAATAAATAAATAAATAAATAATTTAAAAAACTAACTCAAAACAGCTCATGGATTTAAATATATAACCTATACCTATGAAACCTTGAGGAAACAACAAAACAAAACAACCTGGGAAAAATTTTTCAGGATTTAGGGTTTGGCAAAGAATTTCGACTTGACACCAAAGACACAATAAAGAAAAACAACTTCATCAAAATCAAAGTCTTAAAAGACCCTGTGAAGAGAACGAAAAACTACAAAGTGAGAAAAAATATTAGCAAGCCACATATCCAAAAAAGGACTAATATCTAGAATGTAAGTGCTCTCAAAACTCAATAGTAAACAAAAAATCCAATTGGAAAATGGGAGAAATTATGAAGACATATCACCTAAGAAGTTACCCAGATGGTAAGTAAGCACATGAAAAGATGTTCAACATTGTTAGCCATGAGAGAAAGTCAAATTAAAATCACAATTGAATACCAACACACACTTATCAGGATGACTAAATAAAAAATAATGACAATAGCAAATGCTGATGAGAAAGTGGAGAGATTGGCTTGCTCATACATCGCTGGTCGGAATGTATAATAAATTGGCACAGCCTCCTTGAAAACAATTTGGCAGTTTCTTAAAAAACTAAATATGCAACTTCCAGCAGTTGCATTCCTAGGCATTTATCCCAGAGAAATGAAAACTTGTGCTCAGACAAAAACCTATAAATGAATATTTATAGAAGCTTTATTCATAATAGCTAATAACTGGAAACAACCAGGTATCTTTCTTTGGGTGAGTGTTTAAAAAGATTGTGGCTATTCTATATCATGGAATACTGCTCAGCTGCAAAAAGAAACAAACTACTGCTATATACAAACCCAGCTGAATGAATTTCCAAAGAATTATGCTGAGTAAAAAAAATTCCCAAAGACTGAAAAAAACCCCAAAATTAATACACAGAAATCTCTTGTATTTCTATACACTAACAATGAAAGATCAGAAAGAGAAATTAAGGAGGCAATCCCAATCACTCTTGCAACAAAAATAAAATACCTACTTAAGGAGACATAAAACCTGTACTCTGAAAACTATAAAATCAAAAAATCAAATTTTGATTTGAAAAAAATCAAAGATGACACAAACAGATGGAGAAATATACCACATTCTTGGATTTGAAGAATCAATATTATGAAAATGACTATACTACCCAAAGTAATTTACAGATTCAATGCAGCCTTGATCAAATTAAAATAGCATTTTCCACAGAATTAGAAGAAAAAAAATTTACAACTTGTATGGAAATGCAAAAGACCCTGAATAGCCAAAGCAAGCTTGAGGAAGAAAAATAGAGCTGGAAGACTGACTTTAGATTATGCTGCAAAGCAACAGTAATCAAAATAGTATGGTATAGGCACAAAAACAAATATAGATCAATGGAACAGGATAGAAAGTCCAGAGATAAACCCACACTCCTATGGTCACCTAATCTATGACAGAGGAGGTAAGAATATATAATGGAGAAAAGACAGTCTCTTCAATAAGTGGTGTTGGGAAAACTGAACAATTGCATGTAAAAGAATGAAATTAGAAATCCTCTAATACTATACACAAAAATAAACTCAAAATGGATTAAAGATCTAAATATAAGACTAGATATTATAAAACTCTTAGAGGAAAATATAGGCAGAATCTCTTGGATGCAAATGGCAGCAATATATTTTTCAATCCATCTCCTATAATAATGAAAATAAAAACAAAAATAAGCAAATAGGACCTCATTAAACTCAAAAGATTTTGCACAGCAAAGGAAACCATAAACAATATGAAAAGACTACCCACAGAATGGGAGAAAATATTTGCAAACAAAGCATCCAACAAGGAATTAATCTCCAAAATATACAAGCAGCTCATGCAGTTCAATTTCCAAAAAAACCAAACAACCCAATTAAAAAATGGGCAGAATATCTAAATACACATTTCTCTAAAGAAGACATACAGATGATCAAAAAGCACATGAAAAGGTGCTCAACATCACTATTTATTAGAGAAATGCAAATCAAAATTACAATGAGTTATCATCTCACACCAGTCAGAATGGCCATCACCAAAAAGTGTACAAACAAATGTTGGAGAGAGTGTGGAGAAGAGGGAACCCTCCTACACTGCTGGTGGGGATGTAAATTGGTACATCCACTATGGAGAACAGTATGGAGGTTCCTTTAAAAACTAAAAATACAGCTACCATATGTTCCAGCAATCCCACTCCTGGGCATATATCTGGAGGAAACCATAATTTGAAAAGATAATGTGTACCCCAATGTTCATATCAGTGCTATTTACAGCAGCCAGGGCATGGAAACAATGTAAAAGCCCATCAACAGAGGAATGGATAAAGATGTAGTACATATATACAATGGAGTATTGTTTGTTGTTTAGTCACTAAGAGTTCTGTCACTAAGAGTTCTTTTGTGACCCCATGGAGTGTGGCCTGCCAGACTTCTCTGTCCATGGAATTTCCCAGGCAAGAATACTGGAGTGGATTGCCATTTCCTTCTCTTCCTTCTCCAGGGGATCTTCCTGACCCAGGGATTGAACCTGCATCTCCTGCATTGGCAGGTGGGTTCTTTGACACTAAGCCACCAAGGAAGCTCATTCAGTCATAAAAAGAATAAAATAATGCCATTTGCAGCAACATGGATGGACCTAGAGACTGTCATGCTAAGTGAAGTTAAGTCAGAAAGAGAAAGACAAATATTCTATGATATCACTTATATGTGCAATTTAATCTATAAAAGATACAAATGAATTTATTTCAAAAACAGAAACAGACTTACAGATATGGAAAGCAGGTTTATGGCTACCAAAGGGAAAACATGGGGCAAAGGGATAAATCAATAACTTGAGATGAATACACACACACTACTAAATATAAGATAGATACCCAACGAGGATCTGCTGAATAGCACAGGGAAATCTACTCAGTTTTCTGGGATAAATTATATGAGAAAAGAATCTAGAAAAAGAGTGGATATATGTATATGTATAGCTGAATCACTTTGCTTTACACCTGAAACTAACACAACATTTTAAAAATCAACTATACTCCAATAAAATTAAAATAAAAAATCATGATTCTGGGCCATCATTAAATTTTATCTTGCCCTTTTAATTCATAATTAAGTAATTTTGGTGTTCTATTTTTGAATATTTAAAATAAACCTTACTGTGGAATTTTATATATGAGCTACTGGAACTCAAATTAACATAGTCTTCATTATCATGGCTTATAATACTTACCTTTAAGTGTGGCTGGTGGGGTTTTGGTTGTAGTGAAAGTATAGATACCAGACAGTGGCCCCTCACCAGCTTTATTACATGCTTGGATTTTAAATTTATATTGCGTGTGTTCACTCAATCTTTGTACCCTGTGACTCTGACAAGGTCCATGATAAATAATAGAAAATCTGGAAGTGGGAATCGAGATGGAAGGAAGCAATATTATTAATCAACTGTCCTACAGGTACAAATAACTCTATATGACTGACTTAAAACTGTTTTTAAAACTATAATAAGCCCTAAATAAATAAACTTGAAGCCATAAAGGTGAAACACAAAATAAAAAAAATCAAATTGTAAATATCACAATGTGAAGGTGCAGGCTTTCATATTTCTTTGGTAACTCTATATTCCATAGTATTAATATCTGTTGTATAAGGGAAGAAATGTTTTGAAAGAGGAAAAAATGGAGAGCTGAATTATCAGTAAGAATTTAAGAAAGTATTGCTAGCATGTTAATGGGCTGCTTTAACATCTATTAGTTCATTGAAACCACTTTGGATTATGAATTAAAATAGGAAAATTTTAAATATTTTTATTATAATACATGCTAAATAGCAAAAAATAGTTTACCTGTCAGATTGATCTCCCATTAATAAATTATAGCTTGTAAGGTTAGAAAGTAATCTTTTGCTTGAAGAGTTACCCCATTTCAGTTTGAGGCTCTGGTGCCCATAGGCCACACAGTCAAGTTGTGGAGGCTCAGGTGGCAGTGGCTTGGTTTTGGTTCTTATTGGTTGGCTAAAAGGGCTTAGTCCATAATGATTGATAGCTTGAATTCTGATTCTAGTGGTGAGGAAAAAAATAAACTGTATTAATTTAGATTAGAAAAGAAAATACATTTCCACATTTAAGTTAACCCCCTAGTAACTCCATGTAGGATATTAACTATCATATTATACTAATTATTAGAGACAAATTTCTGAGACAAAAATCTTGAATTTGCATAGCCACTATTGACAATTCTTAATGAGGAGGAGAAACTGACTCTTAGTAATGCCCAATTTTTCTAAAACAATAGAAATCTGTTTCAAAGAAAATGCTATGTAAGTTGTTCAGTTCAGTTCTGTTCAATCGCTCAGTCATGTCCGACTCTTTGCGACCCCATGAATCGCAGCACTCCAGGCCTCCCTGTCCATCACCAACTCCCAGAGTTCACTCAAACTCATGCCCATCGAGTCGGTGATGCCATCCAGCCATCTCATCCTCTGTCGTCCCCTTCTCCTCCTGCCCCCAATCTCTCCCAGCATCAGGGTCTTTTCCAATGAGTCAACTCTTCATATGAGGTGGCCAAAGTATTGGAGTTTCAGCTTCAACATTAGTCCTTCCAATGAACACCCAGGACTGATCTCCTTTAGGATGGACTGGTTGGATCGCCTTGCAGTCCAAGGGACTCTCAAGAGTCTTCTCCAACACCATAGTTCAAAAGCATAAATTTTTCGGAGCTCAGCTTTCTTCACAGTCCAACTCTCACATCTATATATGACCACTGGAAAAACCATAGCCTTGACCAGATGGACCTTTGTTGGCAAAGTAATGTCTCTACTTTTTAATATGCTAGCTAGGTTGATCATAACTTTCCTTCCAAGGAGTAAGCATCTTTTAATTTCATGGCTGCAGTCACCATCTGCAGTGATTTTGGAGCCCCCCAAAAATGAAGTCTGACACTGTTTCCACTGTCTTCCCATCTATTTCCCATATATTGTATAAACCTACAAATGTAGAACTGCTCAAACGTCTCAAAAAGCTTTCCATCTACCTAAGTAAGACATAAGCGACTTACTTGTATGTGGTATCAGGCTGTAGATTTTTCAGAAGACATTCTGTTACTCTATTAACAGTCAACATTTTTCTGTCTCCATATTCAATGTTATAGCCGGTGATTGCAGAACCATGGCAATCTGGTTCCTCCCATTGAATAGCAATGCAAGATGATGCCAATTTGGCAGGAACTTTGTTTTCAAATTCTTGTAACACTGTTACTACTGCTGGTATAGTTGCTGGTGTGGTTACTATACCAGTTTCTCCAAACATTCCAACTCCAACTATATTTACAGCCTGAAAAAGTATATTCTGTTAGAGATTCATTATTACTTGGTTTTTGTACATAAACCATTTTGTTGCATAGAAACAAATTTTCTTGTGTGTATGTGGTTTGGATTTTGCTTGTGGCTTTATTTTCACATGTGAGATCTTCTCATACCCAAGAAATCAGGCCTTGCCTAAGTGACATCACATTTGCAAGAATCCAAGCCAGCTTGCCCTTCTTTACAATTTTCATGGATCTCTCTTAAGAGGAAGCAGAGAGAACGTTGGGAATGGGAATCCAGGTGATTAGTTTTTTCCTTTCTTTGTATATACAAATTCACAAAATAAACGTTCTTAAACTCCAATTCTAACAATACGGAATAAAAATTTTAGATATAATTGACACATAACATTGTGTAATTTTAAGGTGTATAACATTGATTGGATACATTTATATATTGCAATATGAAACAATATGGTTCTAAGATGCTGACATATACACGGAAGTCTGTAGGTTGCATATTTAAGAAGGTGAAGAGTCTAAAACTGGGAAGGTAAATGAAGAGTGCTAATATGGACAGTTCAGGAAAAATATACCCAAACCGAACTCATTTATCCCATCAAACTTTCTTCCTTTTCTTCAACTTGTAGTTTCTATCTCTGGTGGTGGTAGCCCAAAATTCACATCTATTCATCAAGTTTCACCAACTTTGTAAAATTTTTTATTTTGAGATCACTGTAGATTCTAGTGTATCTTTCACCCACTTTCACCAAAGGTAATATTTTGCATAAATATAGTACAATATTATAATCAGGAAATTAATATTAATACATTCCATCGATGTTACTCAGATTTCACCAATTTTACATGTGCTCATTTGTGTGTATATTTATTTCAATTACATTTTATCACATGTGTAGCTTCATGTAATCACCAATCCAGTTAGGATAGAAGCTCCATCACAATTTACCCTTTTATAGCCTCAGTGATGTTTTCTCCCTCCCCCTTTTTCCTAATCCCTGACAACCAGTAATTTGTTCTTCATAACTATAATTATGTTTTTTTAAAAAATATTTATAAAAATGTAAATAGAATAAAGCAGTATGTGAATTTTTCAGATAGGTATTTTTAGGCAGCATAATTCTGTGATCCATCAAAGCTGTTGTGTGTATTAATAGTTTGATTCCTTTTATTTTCAAATAGTTAGCCATGGTATGGATGTAGTACAGTTACTTTAATCATTTACCTGTTGAAGGACATCTGACCTGTTTCTAATTTTTGGTCCTTACAAATAAAAGTGCTATGAACATCCATGTACAGGTTTTTATTGTGGATGTATGTTTTTATTTGTCTAAGTGCCCAAGAATGTTGGCATATCGTTAAGTGTATGTTTAGTTTTGTGAGAAACTGCCTTACTCTTTTACAGAGTGGATGTAATTCCCATCAGAAATGTATGAGTAATTCAGTTTCTCCATGTCTTTGCCAGCATTTAGTGTTATCACTATTTTTATTTATTTGTTTATTTTACTTTATTTCAACCATTCTGATAGGTGGATCATGATATCTCATCATGCATTTCCCTAATGGCTAATGATGTTGAAAATCTTTTCATGTGCTTATTTACCATCTGTATATTCTTTTCTGTGAGTTGTATTTTCTAACTAGGTTGTTTGGGTTTAAAACTGTTGAGGTTTGAGAGTTCCTTATATATTCTAGATATTGCTCCTTTGCTGGATATGTGTTTTATAAAGATTCTCTCCCAGCCTGTAGCATAGCTTTATTTTCCTCTCCACAGGGGATTATGCAGAGTAAGTTTTTAAGTTTAAGGAGCTCAAATTTATCAAATTTTCATTTTATGGCTTGTGCTTTTGATATCAAGTTTGAGAACTCTTTTCCTAGCTTCAGGAAATCCTGAAGATTTCCTCCTGTAGTTTTTTCTAAAAGTTTTGTGTTTTATTTTTCAGTTTTCTATGGTCCATTCTGAGTTAGTTTTTATAAATATAAGGTGAGAGATTTGTGTTTTTTTGGCTATATATTCAATTTGTCCAGCATAATTTGTTGAAAAGGGCATTCTTAACTTATTTGCATCTTGCCAAAAATCAGTTGGGCATATTTGTGTAGGTTGATTTCTCGGTTCTCTATTCTGTTTCATTGACTTATGTGTCTGTCCCTTCACTAATACTACACTGTCTTTATTACTATATCCATACAGTAAATTTTTAACATTAGATAGAGTGGTTTCTTCCACCTTAGTTTTGTTTTTCAAGGTTGATTGATCTATTTTAGATGCTGTGAATTTCCACATAAATTTTAGAATGAGATTGTATGTATCTATTAGTAATTTTGCTTAGATTTTGATAGGATTTGTATTAAACCTATAAATCATTTTGGGGAAATAAAGCATGAAACATGTATTCCAATTTTTTAACACAATATGTCTCTCTAGTTATTTGGGTCTTTGATTAATTAGCATTTTGTAAAGTTCAGCACATATGTACAGTACATGTTTTGTTGGAATTATACCTACATGTTTCATTTTCTCTAGAGTTATTGTAAATGTTATTGTGCTTTAAATTTCTGTTTTTACATATTTGTTGTTAGTATATAGCAATGTGATTGATTTGGGGGTATTGATCTTGTGTCATGAAGACCTTGCTTACTTCACATATTGGTTCTACAAGATTTTTTGGTACATTCCTTGGTATGGTCTGTGTAGATAAACATGTTATCTGCAGAATGTGATGGTTTTATTTATTCCCTTATAGCATGTATGCCTTTTATTTTCTTTACTCACCTTATTTCAGTGTCTGAAAATTTCTGATTTTATGTTGGGTAAGAGTGGTGAGAACATCTTTGTCTTGTTCTTAATCTTAGGGGAATCACCTTTCACCATTAACTATGTTAGCTATAAGTTTTTTGTAGATGGTCTTTATCAAGTTGAGGAAGCCCCCATCCATTCCTAATTTTGAGATTTAAAAAAAGCATGAATGGTTGTTGGACTTTGTCAAACATATTTTTTGTCAATTGATGTGATCATACGATTTTTTTTCCCCTTCAACTTGTTTGTATAGTACATCACGTTGGTTGATTACTCAATTCTGAACCAGGCTTGCAAACCTGAAATAAACTCCCCTTGGTCAAAGTATATAATCCTTTTTATACAATGTCAGATTTGAAATGCCAACATTTTGTTAAGGGTTTTTTTAAATGTGTTTCTAAATTAACAGTCTATTAATAATCTATTTGTCTGCAGATTTCTTTTTTTGTATTATTTTTGATTTTGGTTTTGGGGTAATACTGTCCTCATAAAATGAAGTGGGAGCTCTCTCATTTTCCATTTTCTGTGAGAGATTTAAAATTAACGTTAATTTTTCTTTAAATGCTTTGTGGAATTCTCCAGTGGAACCATCTGGGCCTGGATATTTCTTTTCCAGGGCCTCTTTATTTATGAATATTTCTTTGATGACAACCTATAGGGGTATTCACATGGTCCATTTCATCTTGGCTCAGTTTTAGCAGACTGTGGTTTTCAAGAAATTGGTCCATTTCTTCTATATTGTTGCACTTATGAGTGTAAAGTTGCTCAGTCATCCCTAATTATGCTTTTCAGTTCAGTTCAGTTCAGTCGCTCAGTTGTGTCTGACTGTTTGTGACCCCATGAAATGCAGCATGCCAGGCCCAATGACTGACAAATCTGTAGTGATATCTGATGTTTTGTTCTTTTTAGTGATTTGTATCTGCTCTTTTTATTTTTGTCTTGCAAGTTGTTTATCAATTTTATTGATTTTTTTTTCAAAAAACAACTTTTTGTTTCACTTACTTTTCTCTATTGTTCTGTTTTTTATTTCATTGATTTCTGCTCATTTCCTTCCTCCTGCTTGCTTTTGGTGCATTTTACTCTTCTGTCTACTAATTAAGGTAGGAATTTAGATTATTGATTTGAGTCTTTTTTTTTTCTTTTGCAAGATAAGTGTAAAATGCTATAAATTTCTCTGTTGGCACTGCTTTAGGTGCATCCCACCTATTTTGGTATGCTGTATTTTCACTTTCATTCAATTCTATGTATTAAATTTTTTTCTTCTGATATTTCCTCTTTGGCAAATGGATTATTTAGAAGTGTATTGTCTAACTTCTGCCTGTTTTCAGTGACATTCCTGTTGTTTTTCTGTTGTTCAGTTCTAGTTTGATTTCATTATGGTCAGAACACACACATTGTATGATTTCAAATATTTTACATTGTTATGGCTTAGGATATGGCCTATTTTGGGGAATGTGCTATGGATACTTGAAAAGAGTATGTAATCTGATGTTGGGTGGTGTGCTAAATATGTCTGTTAGATCTGGTTGGTTGATCGTGTTGTTCAGCTGTTCACTATCCTTGATCATTTTCTACTTAGTAGTTTTATCAGTTGCTGAGATGGGTGTTGAAATTCGCTACTGTAAGTGTGTATTTGCCTAATTTCTCCTTTCTGGTTATCACTTAATGCTTCATATATTTTAAGGTTCTGTTGCTTGATACATACACATTTAGGATGCTTATGTGTTTTGGTGCATTGATCCTTTTTAGCATTACTAATGTCTCTTTTTGTTTCCAGTGATTCCTCTGTTTTGAAGTCTTCATTATCTATATACATGTGATCACTCCTGCTTTTTTATTAATGTTTACATGATATATCTTATTCCCTTTTACTTCCAACTTTCTTATGTTATTGTATTTGAAGTAAGTTTCTTGTAGACAGAATATTGGTCTGTGATTTTTTTGAGTCACTATGCCATTTCTGCTTTTTATAAGTATAATTAGGCAGTTTTACATTTAAGTTAATGATTAGTATTCTAGAGCTTAAGTCTGCCTTTAATTTTCCTGTTTGTTACTTTTATTTCTCTTTCCTCTATTTCTTACTTGGAAGGTGGTGACCTAATTCCTCAAGGGACACCTCCCCCTAGGCTGGGGGTATTTTAGCTCACTGTGTCTCTGGCCTCAGCAGATTGTGTAATGGCAAGGAGTGGGGATAGGGACCTGTGAAACTGA